ACTTATTTCGCTAAGCATGATACCCTCTAGTTCCATCCACGTCGTCGCAAATGGCAAAATTTCATTTCTTTTGATGGCTGCATAGTATTCCATTGTGTATATATACCACATCTTCTTTATCCATTCTAATGGACATCAGAAGAAAGCAGGAGTGGCAATCCTTATATCAGATCAATTAGATTTTAAGCCAAAGACTGTAATAAGAGATGAGGAAGGACACTATATCATACTCAAAGGAACTGTCCAACAAGAAGATCTAACAATTTTAAATATCTATGCCCCTAACGTGGGAGCAGCCAATTATATAAACCAATTAATAACAAAATCAAAGAAACATATCGACAATAATACAATAATAGTAGGGGACTTTAACACTCCCCTCACTGAAATGAACAGATCATCCAAGCAAAAGATCAACAAGGAAATAAAGGCCTTAAATGACACACTGGACCAGATGGACATCACAGATATATTCAGAACATTTCATCCCAAAGCAACAGAATACACATTCTTCTCTAGTGCACATGGAACATTCTCCAGAATAGATCACATTCTTGGTCCTAAATCAGGTCTCAACCGGTATCAAAAGATTGGGATCATTCCCTGCATATTTTCAGACCACAATGCTCTGAAGCTAGAACTCAATCACAAGAGGAAATCTGGAAAGAACCCAAATACATGGAGACTAAACAGCATCCTTCTAAAGAATGAATGGGTCAACCAGGAAATTGAAGAATTGAAAAAATGCATGGAAACAAATGATAATGAAAACACAACGGTTCAAAATCTGTGAGACACAACAAAGGCAGTCCTGAGAGGAAAATATATAGCGGTACAAGCCTTTCTCAAGAAACAAGAAAGGTCTCAGGTACACAACCTAACCCTACACCTAAAGGAGCTGGAGAAAGAACAACAAAGAAAGCCTAAATCCAGCAGGAGAAGAGAAATCATAAAGATCAGAGCAGAAATCAATGAAATAGAAACCAAAAAAACAATAGAACAAATCAACGAAACTAGGAGCTGGTTCTTTGAAAGAATTAATAAGATCGATAAACCCCTGGCCAGACTTATCAAAAAGAAAAGAGAAAGGACCCAAATAAATAAAATCATGAATGAAAGAGGAGAGATCACAACGAAGACCAAAGAAATACAGACAATTATAAGAACATACTATGAGCAACTCTACGCCAACAAATTTGACAATCTGGAAGAAATGGATGCATTCCTAGAGACATATAAACTACCACAACTGAACCAGGAAGAAATAGAAAGCCTCAACAGACCCATAACCAGTAAGGAGATTGAAACAGTCATCAAAAATCTCCAAACAAACAAAAGCCCAGGGCCAGATGGCTTCCCGGGGGAATTCTACCAAACATTTAAAGAAGAACTAATTCCTATTCTCCTGAAACTGTTCCAAAAAATAGAAATGGAAGGAAAACTTTCAAATTCATTTTATGAGGCCAGCATCACCTTGATCCCCAAACCAGACAAGGATCCCATCAAAAAAGAGAACTCCAGACCAATATCCTTGATGAACACAGATGCAAAAATTCTCGCCAAAATACTAGCCAATAGGATTCAACAGTACATTAAAAGGATTATTCACCACGACCAAGTGGGATTTATTCCAGGGCTGCAAGGTTGGTTCAACATCCGCAAATCGATCAATGTGATACAACACATTAATAAAAGAAAGAACAAGAACCATATGATACTCTCCATAGATGCTGAAAAAGCATTTGACAAAGTACAGCATCCCTTCCTGATCAAAACTCTTCAAAGTGTAGGGATAGAGGGCACATACCTCAATATTATCAAAGCCATCTATGAAAAACCCACCGCAAGTATCATTCTCAATGGAGAAAAACTGAAAGCTTTTCCGCTAAGGTCAGGAACACGGCAGGGATGTCCATTATCACCACTGCTATTCAACATAGTACTGGAAGTCCTAGCCTCAGCAATCAGGCAACAAAAGGAAATTAAAGGCATCCAAATCGGCAAAGAAGGAGTCAAACTATCACTCTGTGCAGATGATATGATACTATATGTGGAAAACCCAGAAGACTCCACTCCAAAACTGCTAGAACTTGTACAGGAATTCAGTAAAGTGTCAGGATATAAATCAATGCACAGAAATCAGTTGCATTTCTCCACACCAACAACAAGACAGAAGAAAGTGAAATTAAGGAGTCGATCCCATTTACAATTGCACCCAACACCTTTTTTTAAAGCGACTTGGAATGTGTAACGTGGCAACATAGATATTTCGTAAAGATCATAAAATTGTTCTGCCATTTTAGCCCCAAAGCGGCAGTATTTACCTCATTTAGCATCCCTTTAAATATTTTTTTTAATTGCAGTAATTATAGAGTCACAGTAAGTTGCAAAAACAGCCAGAGAAGATCCCATGTCACCATCAGTCAGCTTTCTCCGAAAAAGAAAGGTATTCATCTTCCCATAACTGCGGTGCATTGGAGACCAGCCCATTGACATCAGCAAACCACAGCAAACTAAAGTACCAAGTAGTTCTTTTTAACACTCAAAACCCTGAAGTAAGATACACGGAAAAGTTCACACCTAAGCGTGGTCAGTTTTCACAGATGGAACACACCTGTGTAAGCCACCCTCTCGGCACATGGTCCCACTCCCAAACCAGCCTCCCGGTTTCTGGGAGCACACGTTAGTTAGCCCTGCTCGTGTGGCGCTGGCAACCACAGGGCTGTGGGCATATCTCTGTGTCTCCTCCACTCCCTGAAAAATTTGCCATCACGCCCCTATCCATCCACTGCTGCTGGGCACTGGGTCCTTTCCAGCGTGGAGCTGTTGCGAACAGGGTTTCTAGGACTATCGGCTGCGGACAGGAGTGGAATCGCTGGGTCGTGGGGTAGATGTTGGCTCAGCCTTAGTGGATACGTGGTAGATGCTTAGTTTTCCAGAGTGCATGACATTAATTCACACCCCCTCCCGCAGTGTGTGAGAGTTCCACTGCGCCCCACTGTTTCCAACTTCCCCATTCTGGTGGAGATTTAGTGCATTTGGGGGAAGACTGATAGCTAAACATGGAACAGAATACTGGTGGAGGAATCAAAGCAGTAATTTTTCTCTAGATAATCAAGAATCACCTGGAGTATTTTAAAAAGCAAAACAATCTAAAATTCCAACACCGTTCTTAAAATATATTCTTCTATAATTAATGGAATCATCCTGAGTTGATGCTATGGCTGTTATTTTCCAAAAATGTCTCCGGTTATGAGTCACTGGGGATACATAAAATAGATTTTCAGGCATTCTGTCAGGTTTCTTGAAGGAGGATCTCTTTGGAAAGGCCTTGGAATCTTTTCCTAAGAAGCCCGAGAGATTTTTATCATCAGGCGAGTCTGGAAAACACAGCTCTGTGGGGATCCTCTGACATTAACACCTGTTTAAAAGTGAATCTGAGTGGAAAATTACTCCTTCGGGGATTTCGTTGGAGAGTCCCAGGCCCAGAACTTTTCTGGATATTGTCAATTTCTGTAACAACCTCAGAGGCAAGTGTTGGATAGATTGAGGCCCAAGTACGCTGCCCTAGGTCCTTGAATTACACCGAAACTACCATAAAGGCTTATGTCTGAGAGACAGTCTTATTGGTATTTATCAACTTCCAAATAAATCGATGTTCATTACGGACTGTGCGACGATAAAGAACATCTGTAGTGTCTTGGAGGAGGGACGTGAGAAGTGCAGTCATGGTGGGTTCAAGTATGACAAGGGCAGCTCTGAGTAAGTCCCATACCCTTTCTCCCTGCTTCCCTCCTCTATGGCAGGCAGACGTCACCCGTGGTTGGGACGATGAAATAAATCAAGACAGATAAAGGAGATGAAGACACGGCAGGAAATTCATACATGCCTTTTTTCCCCTTTGTAATGTTTTTCCACCCTCCAGGTGCTTTGTAACTGCTTCCCAGTAAGACAGACAATTGTTTTGTAAAATTCGCAAATTACCTGTATATCGCAAGTCAGCTTTTGCAAGAGAGGAGAATAATTAAAGTTAAAGAAGGAAAAAAAAAAACGGGGAAAAAAACACTGTTTAATTCCACATCTCCACATTTTTCCTTTCCTTTCATCTCTATTGGTGGAAACCAACGGCCCTGTAACGTATGGCTGAAAATGACTATAAACAATAATTTGGAAAAATGCAGTAACAAGGAGTAACTTGAGGTAATAGAAAACTATAATTTTAAAATAAAGTTGAACTCTTCCAAAACTAGAGAACACTGCTCAGGGCCATACACAAACAGTTGTGTTTTTTGTTTTGTTTTGTTTTTAACAGTACCAAAACCACTTGAAAAAGCCAACATTTCAATTTTAGCCTTTTAGACGGCTTTCTAACATCAACATATTAAGTAGTCACAGGCATTTATTCTGGAGATCAAAATGCTTCCAGCATCACATTTCACTTGTAAGAAAGCCTATGAAAACCTCTTTTATAAAAATAGATCTAATTCTGTATACTGAAAAGAAACCCACCATATTTGGATTATATGGCCATGAAAGGCCCATTTAACACCATCTGCCAATTACTACATATAAAAAGTAATTAAGAAAGGCTTCTATTAGAAGAGGCCTCCTTCGGCTCTCTGTGGTTTGGGCCTTCTGATCTTAAACCCGGTGAAAACCTCTGGAAAACATTAGCACTTATTTTAGGAAGTCAAAGAGTCAGGCTTTTATTTAGGAGAAAATTTGTAAATACTAATTTAATGTCATATGCGTATTAAAATTCACCATAAAAACCGAGAGTAGAGAAGCTGTGATTAACAAACGTCCTGCCAACAGTCTCTGCAGTCTGGGGCAACCCCTTCACTCCGTGCCTCAGTTTCCTCCACTCTCAAAGGCGGAGAGTGTCACTGCCCGCTTGCTATGGCTGCTGGGCGTCCGGAGGCTAAAGGCCGGGAGCCGCGCGGGGGCCACCCACGCTCCATCGGGTCGAGCGATCGATACCACGGGCGCAGGGGACTTACGGGGCACTGTCACTCCGTAGTGCTGGGTGTCGCTGATGAGCAGCTTTCGTTTCAGTTCATTCAGACCTACTCCCACGGGACCTGAAAAACAGGAGAATATCAACGCTTTACGAAACAAAACACCGTAAGAACACGGCTATAATTCACCCGGGTCCGGGAGACACACTGAGAACACGGATCCCACTTGGCATCCCACGTGGAGAGTATCTCGAGTTCAGTCGGACCTACAGAAAAGATAGGTCTTCTGTTGCTTTTTTACTATGAAAATTTAAATCCCTGCCTTTCCATTACTAAGGTGAGAAATACTGATGTTTTCGGTGAAACATAAATGCATCCGAGTCCATCACCCAGAAGAGCCTAAACAGGTACGTGCGCCCGAAGACGTCCAAGTGCGGAGTCCTGACACCAGCCGTTTCAATTCTGGATGTTTTTAGAGCTTAATAAAAGAACATCTTGGAATGTTAACTTCATTTAATGATGCGTTTTAAATTTGCAAAACCGTCCGCCATGTGTACGTCGGTCAAGGTAACTCCCCGACCCTGTGCCTGCAGGGGGTCATTCCGCGCGGGCCGCAGGTGTTCCGTCAGCGTCTGCACCCGACAAGGTACTGCGGCTGTTGCAGCGGACCACGGCGAACCCTGCCCCCAAAGACAGTCACTGGGTGGAAAGCGTCACACAAAACAACGATGAGACGCGGGGCGAAACAAAAGCGGCTTCTGGGAGGAGTCCCAAAACAAGCCAGGAAGTCACAAGCCCCGAACGGTTAGCGTCTCCCAACTCTGCCATCAGGGCCCATTTACGGTGTGGGCGCTGGGCAGAAGGCAGGCTGCGGCCCAGACGGCCTGGGTCAGAGTCCTCCCCCAAACTCCTCCTCCCACTGGTGATGCCGGCTGCCTGGGTCTGAATGTGTGTCCCCCACCCCCAATTCACAAGTCGGAAGCCCAGCGCCCCAGCGGTGGAAGGCAGGCCTTCCCGCGGGAGCCTAGGCCGTGAGAGTGGAGGCCCCGGGAAAGGCCCGGTGCGCTTGTGGAAGAGCTTCCGGCACGTGGACACCCCCAGTTGCATGTGACCTGGCCGAGGGCCCTCGTCCGGCCGTGCTGGCTCCTTGACCGCCAAGTGCCCAGCCTCCAGGACTGTGACAAGTCAATTGCCGGCGCGGACAGGCCACCCCAGCTGGGGTATGTCGTTCCGGCAGCCCTGGGGGGCTACGCCATGGACGAAGGTAACATCTTTGAGCCTTGATTCGACTTCATGCTAATTTGGGAAGTAACCACGCCCCCTCTCTCGGGGAATCCATGAACCCGGGCCTTCGTGTTTATTCCCTCGCCTACTTCCTCTTTTGGGCTTTGAGAAGAACAAGGCTTTTGTGCTGGACAATGAGGAGCAGACAGGTGGCCGGGAAAGAGACTGGGGGGCCTCCTGGGTGGAGGGAAAAGTGTGAGTGAAGATGAAGGGGGAGTTGGGACTGTGCTTTCCTTGCTTCACCAACACTGTTAGGACCGTCCCTGTCCCCCTTTCTGGTCACTCACTAACACCTTCCATCTTTCTAGGAACTGCTGCAGAGTACCAACCCTGGCGCTCCGCTCTCCCTTTTTACAGTGAATACTCTGTAATATCCCATTTATGCCCTGAGATGGAATTCAGAGCTAATGTCACACACTAGCCCTCCAAATTAATAAAACGCCCTCACTGTAATACGTGAAAGATAAAAAAAAGTACTTATAACAGGGCAGTATGTACTTCAACATGTAAATCCTTGGACATGACTAGAAAACCTAATGACATCGGATGTTCGCAACCCCCCCCCCCCCATACTAAGGCTGTATTTGAAAGTATTAAACTCAGGAACCATTCTGTATGAGGAAGTACCTAAAAATGGAAGCCCAAAGGTGCAGGAAAATAGGAGAATAAACATCAGCAAATGGACAGGAAGGACAAGGGAAACTTTCTGGAATATGGCAAGGGCAGGGGAAACAGCCTCCGTTGAAACAGAGATAACAGGTCAAGACTATTGAAGTAAAGAAAATGATACTTTTGCAAATGGCCCTCACTTTACATGTAAGTATAGTATAAAAATATATGGGATGGGGGGCGCCTGTGTGGCTCAGCAGGTTAAAGCCTCTGCCTTCGGCTCAGGTCATGATCCCAGGGTCCTGGGATTGAGCCCCACATCGGGCTCTCTGTGAAGCAGGGAGCCTGCTTCCCTTCCTCTCTTTCTGCCTGCCTCTCTGTCTACTTGTGATCTCTGTCTGTCAAATAAATAAAATAAAAATCTTAAAAAAAAAAAAAAAATATATATATATATATATATATATATATATATATGGGATGGGACAATGCTTCGCTGTCCCAGAAGGCAGACCTCTTGTCTTCAAACCCAACCCTACACTGAACTGTTCGGTCTCGGAATGTCTATTACAAACATTTAAGAGAGAGTATGTGGGATGCAGAAATGGCATGTCTACATTCCTGGCCCCCTCAGCCATTTGGACTTTAAAAAAGAGTAAATGCCCATATGCTTCCCAGTAGGCAGTGCTGCCCCTGTCAAGAGTCATTGTTCTGAGACATGAGCCCCCGGCTCTTGTCATTCTCTGTACTTCAATTCCTGCCATGGCCTTGGGTGACTCAGCATCCACGTGACTACCCTTCCAGGCTGCCGCCATGTTCACCAGCCTCCTCAGCTGCCCTACACCTGCTCACCAGCCACTTCAACCCCCCATCACCAGCAGCCAGAGGGCCTTCTAAGGAGCTCTCCTGATCCTGTCGCTCCCTTGCTTAACATTCTTGGAAACGTAGTTTCTAGAGGCTCTTCTGAAAAAGATTAAAATTGTCACGTGGTTATCAAGGCTCCACATGACCTGGTCCCCTCGTTGTCGGCCTGCCTCGAAGCATTTGCTCAAGTTCCCTCCTTCATCTGGAGCCTCGGTGAGTTCTGCTGTGTCAGAGCTTGGCTCAAACAGATCTTCCTCAATCAAGTCTGCAAGACTGTCCTGACCCTGTCAACCTTGTTTCTCATTTTTAGGTTTTCAGAGCCACATGTACATCTTCCCAATACTTAAAAGTCGCAATTCAGCAACTGGGTAATACACTGCTTCATGGCCTGTCTTTCCCACTAGACAGAGGCGCCATGAGGGCAGGAATCCTATTATGTCACTTACATCCCCAGAAGGCAAGCCTCAATAAAAATCTGTGGAACGAGTGCAACCTCTAGTGTCACACCATCACCACCTCATCCACTCCAGAGAACACAGAGCCCAACAAGTAGAAAGGTCTTCGAAGTCCTTTCTAGAAACTTCTATATCTAAACCCATCTAGACCATCATCTAGATGCTTCTCTGCAGTCATACTCTTACACTTTTTCTCAAAGATCAGTCTTCCTGAATCTTTACCTTTTACAGCTAGCTCATTTCTGTCAGCATTTAAAACAAATAAATTCTCTCCTACCTTAAAACAACAACAAACTTCCCTTCCCTTTAAGATGTCCCTCAGCCACTGCTTCCTCCTGTCCTTGCCACCCTGGGTCCGGCTTCTGCCACTTGTCATGGGCATCTCACATTCTGCCTCCACTGCCTACAGAGTCAATCAAATAGAAATTATCTGACACACCAAGGTTTCCATGCGGCAGACATGCATTACAAGGTTAACACAAACCATACTAATTCTCTGGGACTGATCTCATGACCCTGACATCATGATATGAGGTGAAACCAAGAACCGGACACTTAACTGACTGAGCCCCCCACCCAGATGCCTCTACATGTGCTAATACGTGTTCATTGTTTCGGCTTAGATACATTTTAGGGAATCTGCTCTAATACTTTAAAGATGGGTTTAGTACCAAGTTCATGCGTTCCCTTTGCTCCCAATTCAAAGGACCAATCACACTATACTCTGTTTACCTGTCTCTGTCCTCCGACAGACTGGAGCTCTGTGAAAGCAGGGGTGTCAGCTGCTTGTTCACCAGCTGGCAAACGGCAGGCACTCGTTAGTTTTATTCATTTCAATTACACTCAGTAATTGTGCTGTTCTGGAGGTAAAACTATCTGCTGAATGACCAAAGGCATGGGAGCTACACGTACTTAATGGCATCTGCATCTAGAAAGCCTGGGCATGATGCTGAGGGATTGTGCTCACGGTCCCTAAGAGGATTTGGTGGAGCTTTCCTTTGAACTTGGCTCTCCGGATCTTAAAGTACAGAGAAGCAGCGGGGAAGGTGATGACTCGGCGGTGGACCAGCAAGTTTCAGGGAAGGGAATCTATCGCCCACGTCTGAGAAGGCCTGCAGTGTAACAGAGGGGCCAAGGCGAGCGTGCCCTTGTGAGTGCAGACACGGCAAGGCACAACTCGGGACCGTGAGGAGAAATGAGATCTCGGGGAGAGGAGAGGGAAGTGACGTAGCCTTGACTGACTGCGAAATGCCAGGCACCACATGGGGTGCATGTATCTGATCTACTCTGAAGGTACCAAAAATATTTAAAGTGCTCAAACTTACTCTTCAATAGAAAACGAAAAAGAAAAACAAGGAGAATTACAAATGGAGCTGTGTTCTCTGTACAGATGTAGACTCAGTTATACACACTCGAAGAAAAAGACAGAAGTGAATAAAACACTCAAAGAGCATGTCTGGGGGCGCCTGGGTGGCTCAGTGGCTTAAGCCTCTGCCTTCGGCCCGGGTCGTGATCTCAGGGTCCTGGGATCGAGTCCCACATCGGGCTCTCCGCTCAGCAGGGAGCCTGCTTCCCCCTCTCTCTCTGCCTGCCTCCCTGCCTACTTGTGATCTCTCTCTCTCTAATAAATAAAAAATTAAAAAAAAAAAAAAAAGATCATGTCTGGGCCTGCCATGCCCACTCCCAGTACCAGCACCCAGGGCTAAAAAGGTGACATGAATTTCCTTTTTTTTTTTTTTTTTTTTTTTAAGCAGGTCTCAGCTCTGGAGTGCTTCCCGGAGTGCAAGATACTTGCTGAGTGAGAGTCTAGCTTATTTTTTTGTTTTCTTCTTTTCGTTCTACTACTACCCAATGCCAAAAAACACAATGATTTATTTTAACTCTGGAGGAAAAAACTACGTGTGTTTGAATTGG